TTAGCATTTATATTTGTCTTCCTTTTCCGCATTGCCAGTTCCAACTGCTTTGTAAACCTACCTTCTTAATTCTCCCATGATTAATTTTATTGATGACGGAAAAATGCTATGGCAGAAGAATACAGGTAGATGCATCAACGCTTGGGAGCATTGATATGTCAAAAAATTGTAAATATATTTTCAAATATAAGTAGATTTTTATAAGTTTTCTTATACGACGTCATTCGGAGTTTAGTAAATTCGCATTTTTCAACAATTTTTACAAATTTGAATAAATTTTCATTCAACATTTTCAATTTCAAAATTGGTTTGACACATGGCAGAAGAATACAGGTAGATGCATCAACGCTTGGGAGCATTGATAAGTCAAAAAAATTTAAATATTTTTTAAATATAAGTAGATTTTTATATGTTTTCTTATACGACGTCATTCGGAGGCTATTATAATTCGTGTTTTTCAACATCTTTTACAAATTTAAATAATTTTTCATTCAACATTTTCAATTCCAAAATTGGTTTGACAGTTCATTGTTTCAGCAGCTGTGTCGATGCGTCTACCTATATTTTTCTACCATGGTTTGACAGTTCATTGTCCCAGCAGCTGCGTCGATGCGACTATCTATATTCTTCTACCATGGCATATATGTAAAAAAATCCAGTAGCTGTCAGATTTTACGCAATGTATTGTGCATGGTAGAAGAATACTGGTAGATGCATCAACGCTTGGTAACATTGATATATCAATTTTTTTAAATGTTCGTTCAAATTTAAGTAGGTTTTTTTATACGATGTCATTTTGAGGTTATTATAATTCGCGTTTTTTAACCATTTTTACAAATTTTAATAATTTTTCATTCAACACTTTCAATTCTAAAATTGGTTTGACAGTTCTTTGTCCCAGCGCAATCCAGAACAATGAGACTGGCAGTTCAAATCGACGGGTTTATTAAATGCGAATACATTTAGATTTACGAAATCAACTCGATTTCAAATGTCAATTACGTATACGTCAAATAAAAACTGGATTCATGGCCAAAGAATACAGGTGGATGCATCAACGCTCGGGAACATTGACATGTCAAAAAAATTTTAATGTTTTTTCAAATATATTTTTATATTTTTATTTTTATATATTTTTTCTTATGCGACGTCTTTCGGAAGTTATTATAATTCTCGTTTTTTAAAAATTTTTACAAATTTAAATAATTTTTTTACAAATTTAAATAATTTTTCATTCAACATTTTTAATTCCAAAATTGTTTTGACAGTTCATTGTCCCAGCAGCTGTGTCGATGCGTCTACCTATATTCTTCTACCATGCCTGGGTTTTATTAAATGCGAATACGTTTAGATTTATGAAATCAACTCGATTTCAAATGTCAATTCCATAACGTATACGACAAATAATAACTGGATTTATGAAAACGATTTACGTGACGTGTACGCTTTGGAATTGACATTTGAAATCGAGTGGATTTAGTAGTCTAAACGTGCTTTAAGTTTTAAGGCTACATAAAAACCATAGTAAAATTAAGAAGGTTAAGTAATTTTAAATAAGCATACCCATCTCTGAATTTTCTGTATTTCAAATTTCACTGCATAAAAACTAGTTTTCCATCTCTGATTTGTGTATTTACAATGAATTTATATATATATATATATTTTGACAATGAGATGTTGCCAAACGAAGAATTTTGGAAAAAAATAAACATATGTTTGCATGACTTTACCTTCTTGATTCTACCAGGGACAATGAACTATAAAACCAAGTTTAAGGTGCAAATACATAAAAAGCTAGAAGTCATGGCTAGGCATACTAATGTCAAATTATGATGGAAAACGATGGCTGGATTTTAATGCGGCTCTGTAATCCCGTTATGAAATTTCACAAAATATGCCTAGCCGTGACTTCAAGCTTCTTATGTACTTAGACCTTTAGAGTTGAACATTTTGAATGAAAAAATATTGAAATTTTTAAAAATTGTTGAAAAATGCATGTCATAACAACATCCGATTGGCTTCGTATAAGAAAACATATAAAAATAAATTAAGGTCTGGAAAACATTTAAAAATTTTGACATATCAATGTTCCCTGACCGGTCTAAAAAAACCTAATAAATCCCAACATAGACTACGCTTCTGTAATGAAAATAATGAGTAAAAATTTCTGTATGAAAAAAAAAATATATTACAGAACCTCGTACTTTTTTTAGATATAAATAAAAATAACGCATGCAATGTCAAAATTTCTAATAGCCGAAGGATAGAGTGTATACAAAGAGTTTTTCATCTTTAGCTGTATGTGGCGTGCATATCACAAACCGTACAACATTTCTATGGGCATCACATTCACACATACATAAATATATACTTGTGAATATGTGCGCATTTCGATCTACATGCACACATATATACTCCTCGGTTATGGCATAAATCTTAATGATTAAATAATTAAGTAAAAAAGAAAAAGAAATTTAACAAAAAAACAAAAATCAAAATGAAAAATTTTAAATATTCCCAAAACATATTAGAACATCTACTATAGTCATACGTAAACGATGTCACATAAACATAAATACATACATGCATACACACAGCTGTGGTATATTTTAAATAAATATTTTATTTAAACAAAAAAGCGAAAAAAGTAAAAGGTCAAGAACATTGGACTGTACCAAACAGCCGCACTCACCCCCGCACACATCTGCCTAAAAATTCAAATTTTTTATGCAAATTGTTCTATCATAATAAATATTTGAATAAAAATTAAGTGAAAATGCTTTGAAATACACAGTGGTATTGATTATATTCCGTAAGACCAGCTGATTTCCTTTGTATTGTCAAAATAAATACTAATTGTAAGGTATTCAAAAATAAAATCAAAACTATGTGATTGGCTTTGAATTTACACGACCAGTTTAATTAACCTTGCATACATGGTAGAAGAATTTAAGTAGATGCATCAACGCTTGGGAACATAGGTATGTCAAAAATTTTAAAATATTTTCTCAAATAAGAGTAGATTCTTATACGACGTCAATCGGAGGTTATTATAAAAAGCGTTTTTCAAAAATTTTTACAAATTTGAATAATTTTTCATTCAAAAATTTCAATTTCAAAACTTGTTTGACATTTCATTGTCCCAGCAGCTGCGTCGATGCGTCTACCTGTATTCTTCTTCCAAGCTTGCATATATGTATGCAATCTGTTGTGCAATCAATACAATGTGGAATTACGTTTACATACAAATCTTTTTCCGGGTTAACCCTGAAAATTGGCGAATCACAATAAAGTTGTCCGTATAAAGATTTTGTATATGTGTTAAATGTGTTAAAATATATAATTTATACTATTGAAGATAAAAAACAAGTTTATATGCCAAACTCTACTCGGGCTAACCCTGATAATTGACCAATTACAATCAACCTAACTGATTGCACAATTATCAGAATTAGCTCGGGTAGAGTTTTAAATGTAAACGTACCTTATCCCATTGGGTTTAATATATCTATTAGGAGAATATAGGTAGACGCATCGACACAGCTGCTGGGACAATGAACTGTCAAACCAATTTTGGAATTGAAAATGTTGAATAAACATTTATTTAAATTTGTAAAAATTATTGAAAAACGCGAATTAAAATAAACTCCGAATGACGTCGTATAAGAAAACATATAAAAATATACTTATATTTGAAAGAACATTTAAAATTTTTTATTTGATACTTGTTTATTTAATTTTAGCGGATTATGGAGGGAAATGAGATTTTTGAGGATAACGATTTTTGACAATAACAAGTCCCCATGGTACAACAAAGAGGTAGAACAGCCTGGAAAAAATATCAGAATTTTACAAAATAAGATGCAACAAGTTGTTTCATATTTTTCCTCATTGAGTAAAGAAAAGAGGGCAAAAGATGAATCATGGTAGAACTAAGACGGTAAAGTCGTGCAATCATATGTTTACAAGTTTTTTTTTTCAAATTTATTCATTTGACAACATCTTATTGTCAAAATCTATATATTCACACATCCATTGTATACACACAAAGTCAGAGATGGGAACTGTTTTTTATGCATTAAAATTTGACAAGGTAAATTACAAAAAATGCAGTGCTGGGAATGCTAATTTGAAATGAGGTTACCTTTATTTCATTGTACCATGAGATGAATGAAATGCATGGAACTACTTTCCAAAATTTGATCCAAACTGTTCATCATTCAAGTCCATGCCAAAAGTAATAAATATATTTAATACGAACCCAGCAATGTTCGCGTCTTTCAATCATTAATTTTGAAAATATTTTGTTTTTATTTTTCAAGACAACCAATATATACACAAAATTGGCAAAATTCGGGCACAAAATTTCAATTACGATTTTAATTTTTTGTTTAATTTAGAACGACTAATTTGGAAATATCATAATGTCGTCATAATGGTAAAATTAAGAAAGTAAAGTCATTTCAAAAAAGCCTACCCATCATTTTCTGTAATTTACCTTATAAAATTTCACTGCTTAAAAAATAGGTTCCCATCTCTGATTTTTGTATTTATAATGGATTTGTAAATATATATTTTGACATTGAGATGTTGTCAAATTAATAATATTGAAAAAAAATTAACATATGATTGCATAACATTACCTGTTTGATTCTAACATGGCCGTCATCTGCCTTGCCAATAAAAATTTCAGCAAGATGTGTTTTTATTTCAAACTATTTTTCAAAACTATTAAATTTAACAGAAGATTACAGAGAAATTGAACGTCACTGATTTTTAGCAATAAAGAGTTTCTATACATATTTTTGTTCATCCCATTGCATTAATATTCATTAATTCATCAGTATTATATATTAATAAATTGGAGCTTACTCATCCCTGGAATAACAGCTGATTGTGTTGTCTCCCATGTCTTATTTGTAAATACTCTTGGCATTACACTTCACATTCATTCGTAAACAATATTCATTCTATTTTGCAGCAATTTTTATCTGGCATTCTGTCTTTTTTGTATGGAACGCCTTTAACTTTTTTAGGCTCACAAATCAAGATGGCGAAGACAGTGTGCAAATGTGTGTCTATGTGTCCATTTGATAATCGAGAAGGAATATTGTGGCTTTTTGAAAAGGTGAGCATTATCTATTATTTACCCATTTAACTTAGTATAATATAATAATAAATTACACTATTTTACATAGTATTAACAAAAATGTCGGATTCGGAAAGTAATATGTCCGATAGTGGGTCTGAGGACGGATCTGTCGGTTCTAACAAATCGCAGAAAAGTGTACGCTCTAGATCCCGTTCTCCCATACGTTCCCGGTCAGGTTCACGTTCCGTTTCCAGATCACGATCTAGGTCTCACTCGAGATCACGTTCCCGATCGAGGTCTCGTTCGCGTTCTAGATCTCGTTCCAGATCACGGTCGGTTGCATCGGAATCTGGATCGGAAGGTTCGGTAAGAGGCCATAAGAGGGCACGCGATGAAGAAGAGGAGGAAGAAGAAGGTGATGATGTTGACTCCGAAGAATATGAGGAGGACGAAGAGGACCGCCACCGAAAGAAAAAGAAGAAGGATCGTTTCGGTGGTTTTATTATTGACGAAGCCGAAGTGGACGATGAGGTAATTATCCCAGTGGCTTTAGTTTAAAAATGCAGGTGCATATTCTTAAGAAAATTATGCTTGTAGGTTGACGAAGATGAAGAATGGGAAGAAGGAGCCAATGAATTGGGCATTGTTGGCAATGAAATTGACGAATTGGGTCCTACGGCCCGTGATATTGAAATTAGACGACGTGGCACCAACCTTTGGGAGTAAGTACAATCCGCCCTATTTGTAATGTAATATTTTACTTACCCTTCTTTGCTTGTTCCAGCACCCAAAGGGAAGATGAAATCGAGGAGTATCTTCGCAAGAAATATGCTGACGAATCGATTGCCAAGAGGCATTTTGGTGATGGAGGTGAAGAAATGTCCGATGAAATTACCCAACAGACACTTTTGCCAGGCATTAAGTAAGTCAATAATATCAAAATAAATAGTATACATATTAAGTTGTATTTACCACCGCCTAGGGATCCCAATTTATGGATGGTAAAATGTCGTATTGGAGAGGAAAAGGCCACAGCTTTATTGTTGATGCGAAAGTTTCTAACATACCTAAATACTGATGAACCATTACAAATTAAGTCAGTTGTAACGCCAGAGGGTGTCAAGGGTTATGTGTACATTGAATCGTACAAACAGACTCACGTTAAGGCGGCCATTAACAATGTGGGAAATCTTAGAATGGGCCAATGGAAACAAGAAATGGTACCCATTAAGGAAATGACCGATGTTCTAAAGGTTGTCAAGGAACAAGTTGGTCTTAAGGTGAAACAATGGGTAAGACTCAAGAGAGGTCTATACAAGGATGATATAGCGCAGGTGGACTATGTGGATTTGGCCCAAAATCAAGCCCATTTAAAGCTATTGCCACGTATTGATTACACCCGAATGAGAGGTGCTCTTCGGACAACAGCAAGCGTAAGTAAAATGAAAAATGTTCGATTTAACAATTTAATGAAAAATCTATTATCTTTATTTTAGGATGCAGATAAGAACAAAAAGAAACGTAGGCCACCAGCCAAACCGTTTGATCCAGAAGCTGTAAGGTAAGATAACATTTAAAGATTTTTTGTAAATATATAATTTATTCGTCCCTTCTCTGCAGAGCTATTGGTGGTGAAGTCCATTCAGATGGTGATTTTTTGCTGTTCGAGGGCAATCGTTATTCACGCAAGGGTTTCTTGTATAAAAATTTCACCATGTCTGCCATTCAAGCCGAAGGTGTTAAACCCACTTTGGCAGAATTGGAAAGATTTGAAGAGACGCCAGAAGGTACCAACTAAAAACAATTCCATGGGAATGTTTTAATTTAGTTTATTTTCTAGATGTCAATTTGGAGATTGCCTTGGGGGCAAAGGATGACCCCACCATGGGACATTCCTTTTCAATGGGTGACAATGTTGAAGTATGCGTGGGTGATTTGGAAAATTTGCAGGCTAAAATCATAGCCATTGATGGAGGGATGATTACTGTCATGCCCAAGCATCAAGACTTGAAGGTAAGGTGAAATTTTATTACCCCAATGTTTACGTTTAGTAATTGTTTTATACTCCATAGGATCCCTTAGTATTCAAGGCAAATGAATTACGCAAATACTTCAAAACTGGTGACCATGCTCGTGTATTGGCCGGTCGTTATGAAGGTGAAACGGGTTTGATTATACGTGTTGAACCATCACGTGTTGTATTGGTTTCCGATTTAACCAATCATGAGTTGGAAGTGTTACCTAAAGATTTGCAGCTTTGTTCCGATGTGGCCACAGGTGTTGATTGTTTGGGCCAATTTCAATGGGGTGATTTGGTACAACTTGAGTAAGTTACATATATTCCCACAAGCGAAACGAAAGTAGTGGTTTTTATTAACTCATCTAATTTTATAGTGCTCAAAATGTGGGAGTTATTGTACGTCTGGAGAGAGAAAACTTCCATGTATTGGGCATGCATGGTAAGGTTATTGAATGCAAGCCAACTGCTTTGCACAAGAGAAGGGAGAATCGTAATACAATTGCTTTGGATGCAGATCAAAATCAAATCAGGCGTCGTGATATTGTTAAAGTTATGGAAGGACCGCATGCCGTAAGTTCAGCTTCAATACTGTTTTTCTTGACTCCAACTAAAGATGTTATTCTAGGGTCGTTCTGGTGAAATCAAACATCTTTATCGCAGCTTGGCATTCCTCCATTGCCGTATGTACACCGAAAACGGTGGTATATTCGTTTGCAAAACACGTCATTTGCAATTGGCTGGTGGCAGTAAATCCCAGACTAATAATTTTGGCCCATTGGGTGGTTTGGGTTTCATGTCACCTCGTATACAGTCTCCCATGCATCCATCTGGTGGACGTGGCGCCCGGGGTGGTGCCAGAGGTCGTGGCGGTTTTCGTGTTACACGTGATCGCGAAATCTTGGGTAAAACTATTAAAATTAGTGGTGGTCCTTACAAAGGTAGGTCAAATGTTTATTTCGAATTGAAAGGTATTAAAGGTATAAATTATTTTTTTACGTAGGTGTTGTTGGTATTGTTAAAGATGCCACCGAGAGTACAGCCCGTGTGGAATTACACACTTCTTGTCAGACAATTTCCGTCGACAGAAATCATATTGCTATTGTTGGTCCAGCTGGCAAAGATGGAAGTCTTTCTTCCTATGGTCGTACACCAGCCCGCACTCCTGGCTATGGTTCCCATACACCAATATATGCTGCTGCCGGCTCCAAAACTCCATTGCTTGGCAGTCAAACACCCAATTGGGATTCTGAAGGTCGTACTCCATACAGTAGTTCTATGACACCATTGCATGATGGTAGCATGACGCCACGTCATGGTGCCTGGGATCCGACCGTTACAAATACCCCGGCCCGTAGCAATGACTTTGATTATTCCCTGGAAGAGCCAAGCCCAAGCCCTGGATATAATCCCAGTACTCCCGGTTACCAGATTAATACCCAGTTTCCACCACAAACTCCTGGTACATTGTATGGCTCAGATCGCAGCTACAGCCCATTCAACCCAAGCCCCAGCCCAGCACCATCTCCTTATCCTGTGGGCTATATGAACACCCCATCCCCGTCAAGTTATTCCCCCAATACACCAGGTGGAGCACCAAACTCTCCCTATAACCCTCAGACACCAGGCGCCGGATTGGAATCGCCAATTGGAGATTGGTGTACAACCGATATTGTGGTTAAAATTCATACACATGACGATGCGGATTTGGTGGGACAAACCGGCATTATACGCACTGTTTCAAATGGTGTATGCTCGGTGTTTCTTCAAGAAGAAGATCGTAGTGTATCGGTTGTAAGTGAGAATCTAGCACCGGTCGCACCCGGGGAAGGAGATGAATTTAAGGTTATTTATGGTGACGAACGAGAGTCGGTTGGCAAAATACTTTCGGTCGAAAAGGATTCGTGTGTCTGCAAACTGAATGGCGAAGTTAAGATGATACCAACTTCACACTTGGCAAAAATGAAATCAATTGATTAAATATTCTTCTATATTCTATTATACGTAGTATATACATATACACAATATAATATTGGGATTCTCTAATAACAAGGATACGCGGACAACCGCTCAGTGTATGAGTAATGAACAAAGTAGTCATTTCAATTGTTGGGAATCTGTTCTATATTACTTTCATATTCTAAGTAAATAAACAAGACAAGATTTGTTTAAATCTTACAAAAAATGTTTATACAAAACTTTTATTTATACGAATATAAAATCGAAACAAAATTGGAATTTCAAAAATGGAGATATGGAGACCCTTTATCCTTTAAGATTTAAGCCAAACGCTGGCTAATGAGATTTTCCAATGCCACAGTGTCAACAGCAAATTTACGAATACCTTCGGAAAGTTTATCCGTGGCCATGGCATCTTCATTTAGCATCCATCTGAAAGTGGGCTCATCCATGCTGATCTTTTGAAGATCTGTGGCAGCTGCCTTTTCGGCATTCAACTGGGGAACAATTTCTTCGTTATCGTTTTCCAATTGTTTGAGTAGAGAAGGTCCAATTGTCAATAGATCACAACCGGCCAAGGCCTTAATTTCCCCAGTGTTTCTGAAGGAAGCACCCATTACAACAGTTGGATAGCCAAACTTCTTATAATAGTTGTAGATTTTTGTGACAGAAACCACACCAGGATCCTCCTTGGCTTCGTATTGTTTCTTATCAGTATTGGCCACATACCAATCGAGAATACGGCCAACAAATGGTGAAATCAAGGTGACCTTGGCCTCAGCACATGCCACAGCTTGGGCGAAAGAGAACAACAATGTTAAATTGCATTTTACACCGTGTTCTGACTCCAAGATTTTTGCTGCCTGAATGCCTTCCCAGGTGGAAGCCAACTTGATCAAAATGCGTTCCTTGGCAATGCCCATATCAGCATATAAACCAATCAATTTCAAAGCCTTTTTGACACTCTTTTCTGTGTCAAAGGAAAGACGGGCATCCACCTCAGTAGATACTCGACCGGGAACAATTTTCAAGATTTCACAGCCGAACAAGACACACAGATAGTCCATGGCTTCTTCGACTTTTTCTTGGGCAGATCTGTGTTAATAAAAAGACGTAATTCGATGGTTAAAGATAAAACGACTTCAATTATAAGGAGATTAACTTACCCTCCAACTTTCTGGCCATATTCCACAGCCTTTTCCACTATGCTTTGATAACGTTCCATTTTGGCGGCATTTAAAATGAGTGAAGGATTAGTGGTGGCATCGGTGGGCTTGTAAAGCTTCATGCCTTTTTTATGAAACAAAAAAATAAGGGAAAAGGTTATCTCAAGACATTTTACTGGGGACGAGAGTGTATGCGTGCATCGTGTAATTAAATCAAAGCTCGCTCATATTCTAGAATAGATAGATCTTTATGTAAATGTTGATATTTGCCGCCTGCCCGCCAGGCATGACTAGATAGTTGTCTTTGTTCTAATCTAAGGCACAAATCAAGGTGAAACTGCCTACTTGAAAGTTGCGCGATACCTAAGGTCATTAATGTGTGCGTAAATAATTACTGTTGTGAATGTAGTATGGCAATGGATATTTGCTGATTTTTTTGCAAATCATACGATCAAACGTGTTCATCTATTAATGGCACATTCACACATGTAACTCAAATGATCCAGCTAGAATATGACCTAGGTGCCAAGTATTTAACCGGTCCTTGAATTTGGGTGCAAATAAATGATAATACTCACTTTCAAAGTCACCGGTGTCGGCCACAATTGTGGTAAATTTCTTCAACTGTTCCAGCGAACTCATTTTTGATCTTTTTGCCTCGATGGGAGCCACCATTATGACTTGAATTCCTCCAAAACGTGCGATGGTAAAAATCTAAAAGTTGAAGTCGACTTTTGCCTATAGTAAAAATCGACTTTTCGTAATCGATTTAATCAAAAATTTCGATAAGAATGTACAAAACGTGAACGTTGGTAGTGGTGAATGTTCTGCTGGAGTATAGCGTGTTCCAGAGAAGTACATTTTGGTATTAAATACTTTTAACAAATTTCTAGACTTCTAATTCGAATGTGATAGCTCCAAGTTAAGCTTATTTCTTACATTACGTTTACATATAAGTGGGATAACACACTGGATCAATTACTCATACTTCAAATAGATCCTATTAAAGGAAGTTAACTCGACAAAAAGTTGTAACATAAACATGGCATTATTCTATGTTTTAATTTAAGCTGTTTATGTTCAATAGATAGTTGATAGTTTTTAGAAAATAAAAGCAGTTAACTTAACACAAACCTGTGTTTCACAATTTTGGGTTATCATCTCAATTAGCTTATCATTTTAAGTAAAAAAATTACTTTGGCAGATCCTGACATATGTCATTAGAAATTATTGAGTTAATGGATCAGAATGAGAAAAAAATAACATCTCTAGTCCTAAACACTTAAAATATTTTTTAAAACACGGCAGCGCGTGTCATAACATTGGGAATCATTTCACTTTACATAACATCAAAAATATTGGGTAATCATCTCACTTTGCATAACATCAAAAATATTTAGGGCTCTACTTTAATAAATGCGTATGTAAACGATTTTATTCACCACAAAAATTAATAACAAATTAAATGATTTTTATCAATATACGCCTTGCATAAAAAAAATTAAAATTGCATAAATACTAAAATAAAGTTTCAACTCGCAATTTAAATTCCAACAAACCTTAGTGAATTTTTTAAACCGTAGACTTTAAAACCCATCAGTCCGTCTTCCTATAGCAGCACAAATACAGGAGTATGCAATGAAAGCAATATATTTCTTGTGGGAAAAAAGCCCATAACTGCAAAATTAAACTTTGCTTTAAAAAAGATTTGCTAGCCGAACACGAGTCGAACATGGATGTAAAAATAGTGAACATTTTTAGGCGATACATTTTTGAAAAATTATTTGAATTATTTTTCAGCATTCAACATTCTATTATGTATCATATAACTATATTTGCACTATAAGAAATGCCATTTTGATTCCCTATCCTAAACAATTTTAAAGTGCAACACATACATTTATACATATATTCTGTTCCAGAACCTGCAAAAATATGCTAGTTTTGCATTTTTTTTTTCAAAGGGAAAAATCGGTTATCATTAGCAAAAACTTTTGCATTCTTACAGTTCTGGAACAGATCAATATTGTTCGATAACCTCTTCTCAATAAAAGTTATTGAGTATTTTTTCTGGATAGAATTTTGTACATACATTAAGTTTTTAATATTAATAGTATTTCAACCTTATTTGTGCTGGCCTCTCAGGCCCCGCAAAATCCTAAGTTTGGCTAAAGTCCTCTAATCATAGTCTACCCTCTTTAACAAAAATATTATGCTGATGCTATTAGCCTACAGATTAATGTTGATAAAGTGGTCAAAAAGTAAACAACTTATCAAGAATGGGTAGGTAGTGTAAATTGTTGGTATATCACATTGATGATGATACATCTTTACGATGTTGTCGTCATGTCAAATTCGACTTTGTTATATTCCGGACAAAGTACAATTACGAAAAGATAGATAAGTTAGTTTTGAATCATAACACGTATGGGGTCTCTGACATTTTCAATAACTCTAATCTACAATGCTAACAACGTTTACATTTGCTACATGCAGGGACATATATTCTTAACTTTTAACCTATTATCGTGCCCAAGGAGTAACAAAAATTTCCAAATATTTTGTTCTCCAAAAAGCCTTATTTATTATTATTAAAATAATCGAAATTTTTCGTAATCATATGAGTTTTATATTAAAAAAAAGGAAAAATAAACAAAACACCCAAATATTCTTCTAACAATCTAAAAAGTTTGCAGCCATTAACAGTTCCAAAGCGATTTCGGGGGCAATCGGAAATTCTGGAATCTCTGTAGAGCTATTTGTGTAACGCACTTTGTAGGTAAAGTAAATGCATACTTTTTGCAAGATGTGTGAGCTGAAAATTGAAGAAACAGAAGGAAAAAATCAATAGCAAGATTTGAGGTGGTCATTTACCAATAATGAATCATTATTGTTATAAAAATGCAAACAGTAGCTAAGGGTTGAAACCGGTATTGATAGCCATAGATCACAGTGCAAAGACAATGTTTCTTTTTTTATTTTTCATAACCATTGTTTGCTGAAATCCTCAATTGACTTTCAAATATCAAACAATTGTATGAATCCAAAAATGTCCACACATTCTAATACATATATATCACGATATGTACATAGATATGTATATTTGTTTATGCACTTGAACCTAGTATATTCTTTTGTACATTACACCAAATTAAATTTTTATTTGTTTATCTAATTATTCCAAATCGTTTTGCTGCTTTTTACTTACGGTATTTCTCGAAAATGCACTTCATTAGCTTCATTTTCAGCAAACTGGCCAGGTCCAGAAAGCATAGCCTTGATGGTGCCAGAGGTTAAAGCGTGTTCCCTTTTGACAATAAATTCATGGCCATCCGAAGAGATTAATTTGACATACATGGCATCGGGGCCCTCACATCCGCCATAGATTTTATCGCTGCGTGGTTCCTCCATAATAATTATTAAATAATTTATTAATTTTTTTATATGTCTCTCTCTCTTGTGTGCAAAATCTAAAGTTCCCTGCCGCACAAATTGACGCAGTCAACTTTATTTTTACTGTCGGCCGATGCCGCCTTAATTTGTACCGGCGTTAATTAATTGTTATCGATATGCACAGTGCAATGTCAACAAGTCGAGCTGATTGAGCAATATATCTATTTTAAGAATATGTTCACATACAAATATTGTTTCGAAATAACCATAATCCATTATTATTCCACCAGATTTACCATAAAATATATAAATTCTTCTGATTGGTTTTATTTTTAATCCGGTGCCAATACTTTGTTCCAGTACCTGCAAGAATCTACTAGTTTTGCATTTTTTTTCGATATCACAGAGAAAATCGAAAAAATAAAAATGTTTACATTCTTGCAGATCTGGAACAAACCACAAATCTACACACAAGTGATACGCAAAGCTGTACAAATCCAAACATTTTAATAACGCAATATTTTTATTGTGATGATGCATTTTGCCAAGTTAATATGTTAATTAAAGCTATCCTTTGAATTACGGTAAAATTAAGAAGGTAACCTAAATTCAATTAAGCTTATCCTTTTTTCTGCGTTTTCCTTAATTAAACTCGCCAAGTTTAACTTCACACGTTCCCATCTCTGATTTGTGTGTATAAAATGTAATGTAACCTTCCGAAATCCAATGCTTAGAACCTTCTAAAAATACAATTTTTGTCTTAATATTTTGAAAGGTTGTTCAACTTGTTGGTATTGGAACTCTCATTAAATTTTGGTGTTATATATTTGCTTGTCATTGCCAACATTTGCTGTTCCAGAACTGCAAGAATGTAAGAATTTTTTCTACGATAACCGATTTTTCCTTTCTTGCAATTCTGGAACAGAGCAATTGAGTGAACAAACAGATGTTTTGTTGGGAGAAATTGTTTTTCTAGAACCCTTTTTCGATCTTCCAGATCCCTTAGAACAGTCGCCCCTGTTTTTGTTTACGTTTGTAAGTTTGCGGTATTTCTTGTCAGTGCGAGAAGGTTTAAAAAACAATAAAATTATTAAAAATAAAATAATAAAAATAACAGGAATCAGATATTGTTAATTAAACTTTTACTCCACACTCCGTTTTAAAGAGAAATAGGGACTTAAGAATCTTAAGTAGACTCCTCGAGGAAGCTTTCCGAAGCAAGATCGCTGAAATGGCGGAAAAAATTCTAATAATTGACAATGGTTGGTATGCAAAGTTATAGTTTAGATTTCGCACAGATATTGAAACATATATATTTCAGGATCCTACAAATGTCGTGTTGGATTTTCAGATTCCACAGCACCTTTGTTCGAATTTAGAAATTTGATTGCAAAGCCGAGAAAAGACAAGAAGAAGGATGCCCCTAGTGCTTCAGAGAATGCCTTCCAAATAGGCGATGAAATCGATGTTGATGCAATGCGTTTATTGCTGAAGACGCAATTTGAACGAAATGTAGTGACACATCCAGTTTACCAGGAACATATATTTGATTATATTTTGGGAAGGATAACGCCGGAGGGTCGTGATTGGACGCCCCAGCCGATTTTAATTACAGAACCTTTAGCCAATCCAACCTACTGTCGTCAGAGTAAGTTAAAGGACTTTTGGAAAGCAATTTATTTCACTTACTTTCATTTGACAGCAATGAATGAATTATTCTTTGAGTGTTATGATATACCTTCAATTTGCTATGGCATCGATTCAGCATTGGCTTGGCAACATAACCGCTTGTCCACAGAAGAGAATAGTTTAATTGTAAATTTTGGTTATCACACTACACATGTTGTGCCGATTTTGAATGGACAGCTGCAACATGACAAAATACGGCGATTAAATTTAGGTGGCTATCAAATGATTTCGTATTTGTATCGTCTTTTGCAAATGAAATATCCAGCCCATTTAAATGCTATATCATGGACACGAATGGAAGATATTTTTCATAACCACAGTTCGGTGGCAGTGGATTATTTAGCAGAGTTGAGAAAGTGGGATAATATGGATTATTATAATGCAAATGTTAAGAAAATACAGCTGCCCTATACCGCCCCGGCAGCACCAAACCCTTTGGCTGCTGAAGAGAAATTAAGAAGACGGAAGGAAATGGCAAAACGACTGATTGAGGCCAATCAAAAACGGCTAAGGGAGAAAAAAGGAGAGGAGGTAAATATTAGATTATTTTCTTGAAAACAATTATAACTTTCAGGGCTTTATAGCTAGGTTCTGATGCCGCCGTCCCTGTTAGTACAAGCTCCTCGACCTCTAGCAGAAATTCAAAATATCAACCTCCACCAAATGTACCGCTTGAAGTGTGGCTGGAGGAGATTAAGAAAAAACACAATGACATTGTCGAAAAGAAAAGTACGCGGCTGAAAAGACGCCAAGAAATGGTTAAACGTCATACAGTGGCGTCTCAAGAACGTATGCGAATTATTTCCCTGCTTGCCTCACACGATAAAGGTTCCGATGAGTTTGGCAAAGATGACAAAGATTGGGATGTCTACAAGAAAATAAGTCATGAAAATGAAAGCGATAGTGATGCGGAAAATGAAAAACTAATGGAATATGAGGGAATAATGAAATATCATCAGGCATCTATGGCAAAGGACACTGAGTCCATTGAAAATACAGCGGAAATGTATCAGGTATTTAAAATTTATGCTATTTTATATATTTGAACAAACTTTTTTAACAAGATTGGGGTTCCATGATTTTAAAAGCCTACTTGCATTTTACGTGCACTTGTGGCCATCAAATCATTCTCATTATATGAAATGTGAAGGGGAGGTATAAGCGCTGAGGCAACCATACGATTTTCGGCATTTAGGAAATTAAACGTAGCACAGGCCTATAAATACAAATTATTAGAAAACTATTAGATAGAAATTCAAATGTTTGCAATCTTACTTGCTCGGTCCTCAAGACCTCAACATTAATTTTATATTTTCTCATAAAACTTAAAATTTCCTTAGATATATTTGGCGAAGGAGTTTGATCACCAATGCCCAAAATTAACACATCAATTTTTGGTTCTAGGGCGGTAAATAGAGATAGACTAGCTTCATTAATATCTTCCACCGAGTTCACATTCCACGACAAGAGGGATCTAAGAAGATAACAAAGTTAGTTATAATTTCAGTAGCGTATCGCTTCTACTGACCTCGGAAACACTGCCACCGGCCCAATAACAACCATATCGTTGTTCATACGGAAGCCAAACTGACTATATCCCGTAATCATTATACCCAAGTCTTGTTGTGTATTAAATATATCAATTTTTGTTTTGCCATCATAGTCATAAGCTTTGCTGCTTAATTTACTCGATGATTGGTGCAAGTTTCTTCGGATTAGACCACCAGCAATTGTGGCACTTCGTTTCAAACCATTTAAATACATAATTCTAATTCTCTAACTTACGCGAACAACTTAGATCACAGATGTAATCAAAACAATAATGAAGTCGTGCATGCCTATGCCATGCACATATGTTCAACAGGGTGACACACATATTTTTTAAATAGAACCTTAGGAGGGTTTAGACGATGTGAAATACTTCACAGAGCACGCGTGTTATTAATTGTAAAACCAAAAAATGAGAAAAAAATGAAAATGTGACTGAGAATGTATGGAAAAAAATTAAAAATTTAAAGCTGGATTTTAAAACGGACATACATGTTTATTTATTTGCCGAAAGAACTTACAGGATAAATGTTACTGAAAATACAAACGTCATCCAATAAGATAATAGTGCGATGTAGTGCGATTCTCTAACTCATTTTTTGAGAACTTCGAAAACCCAAAATTTTGATATACAACATTGGTATCTATCGGTAGGTCATACCGATTACTCTGATTTCATCGCTAACTTACCGACAAATTTCGTTAATTACCGAAATTATAAGCATTTTTATTTTACCGACTTTTGTTGATAACTCAAAAAATGAGTTAGAAAACTTAACTACGGGTCAGATTAAAAGGAATAACATTTAATTAATTGTTCATACAATAATAAATCGTCCAATGAATGCTGAGCTCCCAAAAATACTCATTAATGTTTGGTTTTATTTTTAATAAATTTATTAATCCCATGTTTTTAAACAGTTACACGTTGGTGTTGAATCTCTGCGTGCCCCGGAATTATTATTTCAACCAAGTATGGTGGGCATGTATGAAACAGGCGTAGCCGAGTTATTAAAATTCGTGTTCGATAACTTTGCACCAGAAGATCAACAGAAATTAGCCGATAATGTCTTCATAACAGGTGGTTGCTCAAAATTACCAGGTAATTTAAAAACTTATTAAAATCATTTCCCTCCCAATCTAATCATATTCCTCTAACATTTAGGTTTAAAAAATCGTCTAGTAAAGGAACTGCAAGAAATGCGCCCATTTCAATCAACCTTCTCAGTAAAAGAAAGTAAAAATGCATCATTAGATGCCTGGCTGGGAGGCAAAGACCTGGCCAACTCTGCGATTTGGACATCGTGTCTGACAACAAAAGCCGATTACACGGAGAAGGGGACAGAATATTTTAAAGATTATCCCACAAGTAATAAATATTTAGTCACTCCCAGAAATGTTATAAATAACACTTAAAAGGAATTAAATTTTTGTTTGTTTTTATTCATTTCATTAGGCTACACAAGAGGTAAGTTGATAACTTAATAAACCGGATCGTATATATATTTTTGAATAAGTATTTCAAGAATTCGAATAGCCTGGGTAGACTGCCAACATCACTCTGTTTTAGTTCATATATATGTATATATTCGAAATAGTCACTCCAAGTGGATTTGTTTTACACATGTCAGTTCTTGACTTGCTGTATTTCATTTCAATTTGTGAACGCCGACCTACATACGTTTCCTACTACTTTAGATAGCTAAACATTAAACCTAGTCTAAAGCACCCTTTTAGAAAACAGTATTATATGAATCGCCCTGTGTTTCAATATTTACAATTTTTGACTAACACATGATTATGTCAGAATTGTGGAAGTAGGATAGACTTTTTTCCCAAACTTGGTCTGGCAGGATGTTGGCGAGTCAAAGATTACGGGTTTGCTCCCCATTATATCTAAATTTATCAAAGAGACTGATTTCCAATGAAATCAGAGAGGTGTTCAATACTCGTCTCGAGCCCCCGGCCGGTATCAATGGCAATCAATTGCAGTTGTCAGTTATTAGCAAAAACCTCAATGCTCTTAACCTAGATTTGTACGTAAACAGTCTGGGCCAACATGAGGACAGAAGTTCAACGATTGTCGATCTTTTGACTCACATCCGATCAAGTCGTTTGGCCAATAGCTGTCTGGAATCAACAAATTTCGGTGTTGTTCGCCAGCTATTAGATAACGTCAGTGTTCAGGAGTTGGTGCCCATATTGATTGATCGTCCTAAGTATGGTATTTTCTTGGACAACTTTACGGGATTCGCAGTCACGTCAGCTTTGCACAGTGAGAAGGAATATTTGTTGGCATTGCCGTTGGCTTTGAAATTGGTTTTGTTGGATGATTTGGACAGCGTTTTCATACAACAATTCTGTGCTAAATCGTCATTGGCTGAATTAAAGAAACAATTGCTGGAGGAAAATGCAACTGCTGAGGAACCCAAGGCACCTGTTGGCAAGGTTCAAGAGGTATGTTATATATACCTATCTTTGTAATTTTTATTAACATTCAATGCTCACAATTTCTCTTTTAGCAAAAAGTCCGTGTCCACTTTATACGCAATCCTTCGGAATATGACATCAAGAACGATATTTCCAAATCTTTGTTGAAAATGTCTTCTAAAGTCTTCGCTGGAGAAGCCCAAGACAACGCCAAGATATTGGGCTATGTTCTTGGCAAACTTTTTAATGATTTGGAAAAATCTTTGTCCTCAATAACATCAGGCATTTGTCCTGATGTTTTCGAAATAAGCAAGGCTTTCCTTATCCGCTGTGAGCAAACAGATATGGTGGCTAAACTAGAAAGTGCTGCTTCCAAAAAGAAAGGCAGCAAAAATTTCGAAGAATTGCTAGATTCTCTGCTTGAAGAATCAGTGACCAAGGAGGCGAAAACATTGGCTGAACGTCAAAAGGAATTATTCCCCACATGGCAAAAGCTAAGAGAAGAAAAGAAAAAGGCATTGGAAAAGGAAATTGCCGATATGGAAAGAAAAGAGACCATAGAAAAGCTGCAAAACGAAATCGAAACCAAAAAGCAATTGCTGTGGTTCTTCGAGGAGGAAGATAAATTGGATTTGGAAATATACAAAAAACGGGTATTCTATCCCAAGAGGTGGTTTGGCAAAAAGAAGAAGCCACGCGTCTTGGATGAACACTATGTACCACCACAAATTAGAAGAATTCAATAAAAATCCGTGTGGTTTAGGATTGGTTTTGAACCAGTAATTGTATTTTATTTGTTAAGTTTTTTTTCATTTTTTCAAAATAAAAAATACATACATAATGAAAAAGTTCGGGTGAATTCGATGAGGGAAATGCATTTAAATATTTTTACAGACTCGTTGGAAGTTTAACTATTTTTGGACTTAAACAATAGTATTACACTTAGGACATAGAGAGTAGCTTTTAGTTGGCTGTGGCACCGGGATATCTTTCGAGCAGCATAGCAACGCCTTGACCGCCAGCGGCACAAGCGGCCACAACTCCCAATTTTCCATCCTCTCGCACCAAACGATTGGCGGTGTGCATGCATAGACGTACACCTGTGGCGGCAAAAGGATGGCCAATAGACAAAGAGCCGCCCCAATTATTGAATTTGCTCATATCAGGGGCACCATATTTTTCACTGAGACCCAAATATGTCTTGCACCACCAGTCAGAATCCATGGCCTTAATGTTTGCCACAATTTGACCGGCAAATGCCTCATGGACTTCCCAGGTGTCAATGTCTTTAAGGGTGAGACCGGCCTTTTTCAGCAACTTGGGGATGCCATAGGCGGGGCCCAAAAGCAATTGATCAACGGGATCTTGGGATACAAAAGTGAAATCACGCAAATAGGCTTTGGGCTTAAGACCCAATTGTTTGGCTTTCTCTTCGGTCATGATGAGACAAGCTGAGGCACCGTCGGTCTATAAGAAATGTAAAGATTTAGTTTGCAAAGAAAAAAGCAAGTCATTTTAAATAAAGACATACAAGGAATGAGGCATTGGCAGCAGTAATGGTGCCATGAGGTTTAATAAAGGCAGGTTTGAGTTTACCGAGTTGTTCCATGGTGGATACACGAATACCATTGTCTTTGGAAATCAGACTATCAACACCAGATACTGAAAAAATATAAATAATAATCAATTTTTATGTTTTTAAGGTTTCAATATTCATGCTCACCCTTGAAGGGTACCAAATCGGTAAAGTAACCCTTTTCTTCGGCTTGCTTGGCCAAGGTGTGCGATCTCAAGGCATATTCATCTTGTTCTTTGCGCGATACATTGAAGGCGGCAGCCAAACGATCGGCAGAGTGGCCCATAGTCTCACCCGAAGAAAATTCAGCAACAGCTGGCAATTCGGGTACTAGGAAGTTGGGTCTAAAGGTCGACAAGAGTGATAGACGTTGACCCATAGTTTTTGCTTTGCTAGCCCTCATCATAAGGGAACGCATTTTACGTGAAAATCTAATGGGAACATCAGACATGAATTCAACACCACCAGCCACAATGGTGTCATATGTACCAGTGGCAATTAAACCCATGCCAGTGGTAATGGCCTGTCAAAAATATATATTTTTATAGAATTTCAATGAAAAACATTCAAGAGCATATAACTTACAGCGTTTGAACTAATGCAAGCCATGGTGACAGTGTGGGCGGGTGTTTTGTCACTAAAGCCAGCAGCCAGGGCAGCCTCACGTGCAATGTTGGAAGTCTTAACTTCCTGTATTACGGTGCCATAAATGATGTAGTCAATAAGTTCTTTGTCCACTTGGGTTTTGCGCAAGAGGCTCCTAAAGTGAAATATCAAAAGAAAAAGTTCATAATGTACTGTAGATTGTAAATTGAAGATAGAATACTTACAAAAGCGAATGACGAGCCAATTCATGTGGCATTAATTTGGAATAATTAGTACCAGACAACAAGAAGGGACTGCGTACACCATCCACAAGAACTATGTTTTGACGGCCATTGGGACTGGTTGAGGATGGTGTAGACATAGAACGGGCAGCACCTGAGCAATTGTTTAAAATATTTGTTTAATTATAAAAAGCCGGTATGTTACCACACACACAGTCGCACATACATTATTGGATTTGCAAGGAAATATTTGCATTTAATTATAAAAAATAAATTACAATTTTTTAATATTAAATAATTTTCTTTTATATTTTCTTTGTTACTGAACTTATGTTCCATATTTTTTTATTCGTCTGCGGTTTATCATCATACATAACAATCTAAATTATCTGTTTTTTTTTTGTCATAGCTAACTTTGGACTTTGACCATCAAATCAGTGAACTAAATCAAAAATGTTTTACAGTTAAGTACATGTGTATGTGTGATTGTGTGCGTAAGCCTTAGCATTTTTTTTTTTAATTTTATTAATTTGACACAGTTTTTAATTTCACATAATTATTATTATTTTTTAATTTATTTTATTTTATTAATTTTCTTTAAATACTTACTAATTGCCCACAACTTTTTTGCAGCATTTTGCACAGCAATTGATTTTAAATTTGCCAACATGTTTAAAGACCTTATGACTTATAAATATTAAAAAGCAACTATGAAACTCAAAGAGGTAAATATATTAACAAATAAAAAACAACTAATATATGAAAGTACAAAGATCACTGCAAAAAAAAAAAACTTATAATACGTCAAAAAATAATTTGCAAAACCAAGATAAGCACAGAATTCAGTAATCGAATAACCGACTTTTCATTGATTAGCTTAAACGACGTTTACATAGTATTGCCTAACGGTTTTATAGGAATTTATATTATGCTGGTTTCAGTAAATCTAGTGGATTCAAATTTCAATTTATTTTGAACAGGGTCTGGATTCTTTTTCTATGAAAATATGAAATGAAAAATATTTCCTTTATAAAATTTTTCATTTGACATTTCTTTCCTTTATAAAACTTTTCATTTCAATTCTTGTTCTATGAAAATGTGAAATGAAAATTTTATAAAGGAAAGAAATCTCAAATGAGAAATTTTATAAAGGAAATATTTTTCATTTCATATTTTCATAGAACAAGAATCCAGACCTGGGCCTCAATTCTTGTTCTGTGAAAATGTGAAATGAAAACTTTTATAAAGGAAAGAAATGTCAAATGAAAAAATTTATAAAGAAAATATTTTTCATTTCATATTTTCATAGAACAAGAATCCAGCCCCTGTTCAAAATAAATTGAAATTTGAATCCACTAGATTTACTGAAACCAGCATAATATAAATTCCTATAAAACCGTTAGGCAATACTAAATTTAATTGACTAAATTTAATTCAATTGTATATTTTTCAATGGTAGAAGAATACAGGTAGTCGCAACGACTCAGCTGCTGGGACAGTGAACTGTCAAACCAATTTTGGAGTTGTAAATGTTGTATGAAATATAATTGGAATTTATAAAAATTGTTGAAAAAGGGATATCAAAACAACCTCAGATTTGTGTCGTAAAAGAAGACATATAAATATCTACTTATATTTGTCAAAACATCAAAAAAATATTCACATATCAAGGTTCCCAAGCATTGATGCGACTACCTGTATATTTCTACCATGAATTTTTCATATTTCCATTTGATCCAACTTGCATGGTAGAATTAAGAAGGTAAAGTCATTTCCAAAACTATATCCATCTCTGCTTTTTTTGTAATTTTCTTTTTCAAATTTCACTGCATAGAAAAGTGGTTTCCATCTTTGATTTGAGTATATACAATGGATTTATAAATATTCATTTTAACAATAAGATATTGTCAAATGAGTAATTTAAAAAAAAAAAAATTGAAACATATGATAACATGAAAGCGGTTCTCAAAATGTTATCCACGGCTTCGTTGAAATTTGAAGTAACATTTGGATGTAAAAAGAATATATATTTAAAATTAAAAAATCTTCATAATTTGTCTACCATTTATGTAGTAGTGACATAGAGATACATAACTCTAGCTTTCCTACAGGTTAACAAAATTATAGCGATTGATATATATTCACACAACTACTATTCAAAAATCATAGTGTGTACTCAGCTTTGTGCAGCAGGTATCATCTCACGTTGCATAGCCTGCCTTAGCGCAATTAATCAACGATGTAACGCGTAACCTATACAACGTAAAGTAACTGTCGAAAAAATAGTTATACGTTAACATTTGATTGGTTTTGTTCATGCGTGAATTTCTATTAACAGTTATTTTGTGAAATACATTAATTTGACTATCTTAATTTCTTATAAGCAACAATCAATTTATTTTTTCTTGTGTTTGTCCTTTTTGTGTGTTAGATTTCTGATCTGTTGTATTAGCCATTGCACGCCCTCTTCCAGACCATCACCAGTTTTGGCACTACAACAGCAAATATGCCACGGTTTGTCACAAATTGAAGTAAGTTCTAGAGCTGAAGAAAACAATTACTGAGCATTTATTTTGTTATTTTTGGAAGACAAAGAAAATTGAGACCAACCTGAGGCTATGTTGACACTTGATAGGGAATTGTCACAATCACTTTTGTTGCCATAGAACAGTATTGGAATGGACCGATTCACTAGATCTGGATGTTGCAACAGAATATCCAGCTCTTCTTTGACCACAACTTGAAAGATAAAGTAGATAATGATCATAATTTTTAATGTAAGCAAATAAGGGAAAGGGTGAAAGACAGAAAAATTTAAATAGAAAGTAGGTAAGTAGAACCTCTTGGGGAATTATTAGAGAAAAACTCAAATATGCAATTTTTGTTTGAATTTTACATTAAGGAATAATTGCAATCAGGTGTGAGCAGTATTTCTAGGACAATGATTTTTTTAAGGTGTTAGAGAAAGCTGCCCACATACAATTTTCGAACATTCAGGACAGGATTATTAAAATTTGAGAAGAACATTTATCTCATGCTGTAATTTTAGGTATGAGCTTTTTATAGTACATTGAAATATTGCTAATAGATTTACTTTAAAAGCTTTCAGATACGATGTAGCCCCATACACATACCTATGTGTAGCTTATTAAACTCTATTACAAAAATTAAGTCATTTTGACTGGGGCTTTACCTAGAACTAAATACCATAATTATTTCAAATCCCTCCAGAAGTTTTTGCCTCCGGATTTGTCATTCAATACGTATTAAAAAATAATTCTAATTCATTTTCATTCATATCAAGTCGGACTTAAATTAAACCCCCTTGGTCAATTGATTTACTCTTTTACCGCGAAACAATCACGAACTGCTGAAAATTAAGTCTTCCACATTTACTAAAAATCATTTTAGATTTTGTTAAATCTTTCGCAATCATCTGTTCACTCTTATTAAAATTCATATTTATATGTATTTGTTATTGTTGGAGCCAAATATTTGTATAGATTATCAAACAGTCTGTAAAGACTGACTTTGGTTTCTCCTCTGCTTGGATTGGAAATGTGAATAGCAATCCGTCCAATGCCATTAATTCTATGGCATTTCTTAGTATAGTTTGTAAGAGGATATACATGTTCTTTGTACTTCTTCGTACGTGTCGCATGGCATTCGGTGTGTGCTCTTTTAAAGCTGTCTCACAATTGCTATTCACGTGGCAAGTGGGGTGTTGTTGTTTTTTTCTAAAAGCAATACGAGTACGAGTTACCTACAGACATGGAAAATCCACTTGGTAAGCAAGACATGTTTTTTGTTTTGTTACTTTCCTCCTGTCCAAAATGCAAATTTGCGCTAAATATTTTATGCCTCGAATTGAATGACGTAAATACAAATAGACGTCACAAAGTTTGGGTTGAAATTCAATATAATTTCTGTTTTTTTTAACTTAACTCTAAGGTCAAAGGAACTTTACAAAATTTTGTGAAAAATTTAAGCAAAGCACACTCACCCATACGCATTTTATCGCTGGCGTCAATGACATAAATCAAACCTTGACAATTTTTAAACTGATGCTGCCACAAATTTCGATATTTCCATGCTCCAGACATATCAATCACCGAAAACTGCACCCCTTGACCTGAGTAGAAAAAAGTAATTTTTTTAATATTCACTTTAGTGTGATTTTTATTTGGATTTTTATGCTTACTGTAAAATTCTTCATGTGTAAATCCCACAGTTGGTATGGAAATATATGAATTGGTATCGTTTTTCCGTTTAAATTGCTGTATTATACTGGATTTTCCACTGTTGTTGAGACCCACAACCAAAACAGTCATTTTTTCTTTGTTAATTTTAATGAGACTTAAAAAATTATTAAACATTCCCATTGTTTGTATTGAAATGTGTTTCGTTTTTTTTTTATTTTATGTCCTTAGCTATTGAACTTGTGTGTCTAGACTGCAATATTTATATGCGTTTTTTTTCATTTGTTTGCCTTATAAGATCCTTATACTGTGCAAGGAGTGTTACTATGGCAACATGTTACACTGGGCTACAAAGGAGGTATAGTAGTATCGAAATCATAAATAATCAATTTCTTATTGTAGATACTTAATGGGAAGACAAATTTGCATCCGTTCTAGGATAAAGAATAATTATTTGGATTCTGCTTCCAGCCACATTGAAAGAATGGATAAATCCATAAAGAGGTCAAGCTTTGTGGAGTGGGATGCCTGCTGATCTAGATGTCCTATTTTGTATTGCTATTCCTCTCACTCTCTCTCTCTCTATTTCTCCTGACCATGAAGGTGTTTTCTAACCAGCACAAGCGGCCTTTGCCTGTCCATAGGGTGGAAATTTGAATGGCTAGTCCGTATCACTTAAATCGGTGATGCATCGACACAATCTTTGTAGACATTCAAGCAGTTGAAATAGCCATCAAATCCTCTAAAATCAAGGTGCAAATTTTTATGTTTATAAAGTACATATATTCAAGACCTGCGTAAAATCCTATGACAAAAATGAAAAGTTTCAGAATCTTATCACCCATTTCAACTTTATCCCCTGATGTTCGTCGTTTTATAGGTGTCGGTCCCAGTATCTAAAAAACACCTGGAAATTGTTATTTCCGGTTCTTTGTGGATGGATAAACTCCTATGGAAAAGTTTCCAAAATAGATATAGCCCCGATATGACGGAATTTTCATGATACAGCATTTGCAAAATCATTGATATACCTAGAAGTTTTAGTATTGAAAACTAAGTCATGGCCTCCATTACAACTTGAACCTCTAATGTTAGTTTTCGGTGCCAAATTCCAACCACAATGAATTCGATACTTGGAGTTCTTTGTGTATAGATTGAATCCTTTCAAAAAGTTTCCAAAATAGATAGAGACAGGATTTTTCAAATTTTTTTGATTTTGAAAATAGACGTTTTGGCCACATGCAAAGCTTGCACATGTTGAAAGGTTCAACCCAGTCGACCTTAACCTCTTTTTTCTTATTACAATTTACATGGCAACATTCTTCTCAAGAAGTAAATACTTAATTATTTAAACGAAATCCAAACTCCGACAACGATTTAAGTTTTTTTTTTGCAAAGCGACTTCCTGTAAATTGGAATTTCGTTTCCGATTTTGCCACTTAAATAATTGTTTCAATTTCCCCCACTGTGCTCAATCAAATAATCGCTAAAACGGAATTAAATATTTTGCGATAATTTTGTTTTTGCTTCCCCTTGAAATCGAAAACTAAAAAAGATATTGATGCAATAATAATGGAACACAACATCACCATATTCAAAAAATATGAATAGTTCAGATATGGCATAGTGCTTTCTGGCGAGACTGGCGAATAAGTTGCCTTAGGGCACGTGCTCGCTCTAGCCGCATTGTATTGTTCTTGTAATTTATCAGAAAATATAGCTTTGCCAAATGAAACCAAGGTCTCTGTGCGAAAAGTAAAAGCTATAGGAAAACAACTGAACTGAGAAATCACACGAAACAAAAACAATGCTAACGTGTTCGTATGACCCACTCCACGAGCAGCAGCTAGCATGTATCTAAACAAACGTTTGCAATTCATTTTTGAAAGTTAATCGACAACGACGACCAATACATGTTTACATTTTTTCCTCGTATGTGTATCTACAATTACAGTTCAATCTAAGTCATTGGCGCTTCAAACAACAAGCAACGTCTGTTGTTATTACCTGAGATTGAATTTGAGACCCCAAGATAAACCTCTTCAAGTGTGCTCTCTGATGCCAAGTCATTATCAGTTTTCGTCATTTTGCTTTGTGTTTTTTATACTTTATACAATTGGCATTTAAAATTTTCAATCGTTTTTTTTTACGACCACCACTTGACGAGGAAAAAACTGGCTTGTGGGGATGACTGACCAAATTCTGAAGTCGAAAAAAATCGAAATAATAAATAAAACATTTCATGCATATGAATGAACTTTATTCCATTTATTTTGTATATTTTATTAGTCTGAATGTATTAGTGTTTCCCTTTTTTGATTAACCTCATCCATGAATTGTTTTGTGGATTTTGATATATATGCACATACATTTAACATGCACACGTATTGAATAAGTGTATATATTTTGTAAGGTTTTTTTATTGTTTTTGCATTTTATTTTTTCTAATTAAGAACGTTAATATTGTTCTTGGCATTCATAAAGTTGGCATGTGGCGGGTTGTTGGTAGCAGTAGCAGTATCACGGGCAGCAGGTTTCAATGGCATGTCTAACATTTTCCATACTTTTTTCATATCATTCACCAGTTGATTCATCATGTCGACATTGTGGAATGGTGTGGGGGCCAAACGCAACTTTTCCTCGCCACGAGCCACAGTTGGATAATTGATGGCTTGTATGTAATGGCCAAATTCGAACATGAGCAGGTCGGATATCTTTGAACTCTTCAAGGGATCACCAATGCGTATGGGTATAATGTGGCTGGGCGTTGGCTCAACGGGAAAACCTTGAACAAAAAGGACGAACAAAAAAGGAAAATATGTTTAGCAAAAATAGTTATGTACATAAAAACCAAACGAAATATTGCATGATTGATTGATGGCGGTCATTCGTTCGTTTGTAACATGCAAACTTATTCTTTTTAATTACCTTCGGACCGTAATAAGTTACGTAAATAGTTGACGTTGCTGCGATGCAAAGCTCTCAATTGTTGACCTTCTTCGGATGCCAAAATGTCAACCGATTGAAGGGCACCACTGCAGACGGTGGGCGGCAACGAGGTGGTAAAGATGAACCCGGCCGCATAGGAACGTATCATGTCCACCAAATTATGGGTACTTGCAATATAACCTCCAATATTGCCAAATGCCTTGCCCAATGTACCAGAAATGATATCCATTTTATCCATAACACCGTCTCGTTCCCCAATGCCCGCACCATGTTCACCATATAGGCCCACGGCATGCACTTCATCCACAAAGGTAATGGCACCATATTCATGGGCCACATCACACAATTCCTCCAGGGGGCAGATATCACCAGTCATAGAATGTACCGTCTCAAACGCCACAATTTTCGGCATTTTCTTATCAAATTTACACAGCATACTCTCCAAGTGGTCCACATCGTTGTGTCTAAAGATATGCTTGGGTACGCCACTATTTCGTATACCCTGTATCATAGAGGCATGGTTACCAGCATCGGAGAATATGTGACATCCGGGTAAGAGTTTGGCCAGAGTAAACAACGTCGAATCATTTGCCACGTAACAGGAGGTGAACAGCAAGGCCGCCTCTTTGTCATGTAATTTTGCCAAGCGGGCTTCCAACATTTCATGGTACATGGAATTACCCGATATATTACGGGTACCACCTGCTCCCGAGCCATGACACTCCAGGGCATCGGCCACGGCCTTTTTAACTTTAGCATGGGCTGACATACCCAAATAGTCATTGGAACACCACACAGTTATGGGACGTTCTTCGCGCGTAGAATACTCCAAGGCATGGGGAAATAGGCCTGAACCAGCCAAGCGATTAACTTTTTTGAAAACACGATACGAATGGTCCTGCTTCTTTTTCATAATTTGCTCTTGGAAAAAGTTCTCATAGGCAAATTGATCTGGTTTCGTTTGAGCAGCAGCAGCGCTCGTAGCTGGTTTGCGATTCAACATCTTATTCTCCTCTTTGGGTGCAACATTGGTTGTCTCATACAAAGGTTCCTTCTTCAATTCCTCCTCCTTCTTGGGATTAGCACTGGAAGTCACATAACTCCTAACAGCATTGACCTTCACATTGGCCACTCCACCAATCGGAGCAGTGGTATCCTCATTCGATGCTGGCAAAATCGCCTGTCCATTATTGAGCAATACAGGACAATAACGGCTATAGGCTTGCATCAAATTTTCCGAATAACTTCGTACAAAATTTGTACTAAGCCGAGTTAGAAAAGGGCAAGGCATGTTTCCACAATTTTTTCCTCTCAATTAATCCTCTGCGATATCACAATCAAAACAACTTTCCAATTTGAATGCCACAAATGATACGTGAAATTGCGTAATGACAGACCGACGACGACGACCACCAATCAAAAAGGGGGGGCACACAGCTCTGTCGATGTTTTGTAAAAAGTTTTTCGCTTTCAGATAGTTTGCCTGCTGCTATGGCTTGTTGGGGTTCCAATTAGAAACTGCTGCCGCTGTTTGCTTGCTATCCAACCAAATGTCCGAAAGTAACTGAAAGGTTTACAAAAACACTTTATTTTAACACATGATAATAAAATACTGCAACCAATACCACCTTCCACACTTGAGTATTTCGATTTATTGTCTTTGTGTTGTTATCATTAGTGGGGGTGTGGGGGGTCACATTATTCTCTTTCTGTTCTTGGTTTATTGGAGTTTTCGCTCTTTCTTAGCTGGTTCCTCCTTATTCTTTGTGGAATGTCATTAGGTGTGGTACACACTATCGAACATAAATGACTAATAATCTATATTTCTTCAATTCAGATTTTAACTGATGAAATATTGACAACAATTTTAAATAATACTTTAGATTTTCGGTGTTCTTTCTTCTTATATTTTTCTATGCCTTTATATATCCGTAAATTGTTTCGGAAATTATGATAAGTTTCATTTATTTCGGCTTGTCCTGAATCGATGTTATCGCTATGTCATCGATATATCGATGGACAAGCAATGTTGCCAATACTCTTTAGTTGGTTAATGGAAATAAATAAACGTTTTTAATGCGTTGTCATGTGAATATGATTGGAACACATCAAAAACTTGGATGATGTATGAGCCGAATAACCCTTGGATAATAATGTAACAGACTACTAGATCATTTCTAAAAAATAGAAATTAAAAGAACAAAATATGAGTAACGTCTGAAAAAATCTTTGTGTCTCGCACCATCGCTCGTTACCACGATACTGGTTGCGTAGCCCGACGTCAAGGATGTGGACGGAAGAAAACAACAACATCAGCAGAAATGGTTCGAAAAGTAAAGAAAACTGAGCTCAAGGTAAAGCCATTGAAATTCCAAAAAGTGAAAGAACTTACACCGCAACGGAAACAGAAAGAAAATAGACTCAAAAGAGCCAAAGAGTTGCTTCGCTTTGCCGAAAGGGGTGAACGGCCGAATTGGGTTTTCTCCGATGAGAAAACATTCGTTGTCCAGCAGTTTGTAAACAAACAAAATTATCGTGTTTACTTGCCAAAAAGGTCAGCTGAAAATGTGCACTTTCGGTTGGCTACCAGAACGCAAGCGCCATGGTGATGGTGTGGGCCGCCATAACAGCCGATGGTCGCTCTCCGCTCGTATTAATCGACCGTGACATCAGAATAAATGCCGAATATTATCGCGAGAATATACTGGAGGGTGTATTAAAGTCTTGGGCACGCAAACATTTTGGCCGCAGATCTTGGATATTCCAACAGGACTCAGCACGCTCCACCCAAGAATGGTTACAAAATGAGGATCCTCGTTTCATTTCCAGCGCACAATGGCCATAAAAATCTCCGGATACCAATCCGTTGGACTATTGTGTCAGGAGTATTTTGGAAAGCAAGGTTGGCACTAAAAAATACCAAAGTGTCGATAACCTCAAGCAAGCTCTTCGTCGAGAATGGACCAAACTACCGCAGAGCAACATTCGGGCAGCGTGTGACAGTTTCATTGGTCGTTTGAAGGCCGTATTCAAAAATTTGATGCTATTTCCGACATTTTTTGCTTTCATTCAATAATTTTTTTTAAAAAAAAAAAGTAAACATTATCTCACCCTGTATTCTCGATGTAATAAATATGATATAAAAATACAGTTGTGTTCCAGGTTATATTCATTAGCAAAATTTGAGTATATGAAACCACAACAATAGAAATTGGTGAACCATATGTCAAATCCAACCTAAAACCTATGCCTGACTTAACATCACCGTTCATTATTATACCCTACACCACAAGGTGGTCAGGGTATTATGTCTTTGTGCATTTGTTTGTAACAGGCAAAAGGAAACGAGATAAACCCATAGTTCCTTTTGATGATCTGCATAGAATCACATTCTGAGTCGATTTATGCATGTCCGTCCGTCCGTCTGTCCATGTATTTTTGTAAACAAAATACAGTTCCAGATAAAATTTTGCACAAATCATTTGTTTGGCCCAAGGATGAACCCTATTGAAATTGGACATAATCGGTCAAAATTTAGATATAGCTCCCATATATGTCTTCGTCCGATTTACCTTTTATTGTGCACCAAACGTGTAATATCAGTCCGAATAGTACGAAATTTTGCACGTACGATTAGATTGGACCTGAAAATAAGTATGCCAAATTTGATCGAAATCGGTTCAGATATAGCTATAGCTCCCATATATATTGTTCATCCGATTTGTTATTTTTGTCCTCCACAGTCGTAATATGCACTATGTATCAACAATATTCAGGGAGACATATCAAATACAGCTTAGAAATACATTTGCTAAATTTTATAGATATCGGTTCAGATTTGGATATAGCTCCCATATATAACTTCGTCCGATTTTCCTTTTATTGTGCACCAAACGTCTAATATTTGCCCAAATGGGATGAAATTTGGCACTTATGACCGAATTGAGTCTAGAAGCTAGTATGTAAAATTTGGTGAAGATCGGTTCAGATAAAGCTACAGCTCCCATATATACTGTTCATCCGATTTGTTATATTTGTTACCCACAGCCCTAATATGCACTCCGTAACAACGATATTCAGGGAAATATATCAAATACAGCTCTGAAATATCTTTGCCAAATTTTATCGAGATCGGTTCCGAATTGGATATAGCTCCCATATATATCTTTATCCGATTTCAAATTAATTGTGCACCAAATGGGCAACACAAGTACGAATTTAAAAGACACAAATGCTTCGGCATAGTTAGTACTTTGAACTTTAAGTTATAATTATAATCATAGCGTGTATGATTGAATTCTCCCACAAAAACTTTTAATTGTTATGCGGAGCTCTACTAAATTAGCAAAGTGGTGTAGGGTATCATAAAGTCGGCTCCGCCCGACTTTAAGACTTTCTTTACAGGTTTTATTTTTTGATTACGTACCAGATTTACATTTTGATTTTTATTTTGCCTAGAGAGAATTAGGAAAACTCGAATTTACATTTACTGGGAAAGTAAACGAACTGAGCTATTATCGCAATGCAGACAATATGACCAACATTGTGTTATTTTCCAGAAATGAGCGATTTTTCAGAGATGAGAAATTAGGTGTGTCTGGTTACTTTTCCAGCAGGAATTGTCCAGCAACTTCTTTCTGAGAGAGTAAGGTAGTTTTATTCTCTTTTGCAAGGAAAATGCGAAAAGTAAACAGACGCTATTCCTGCAGAAGCTTGCAACTAATCAGCTGATTTGTCAAAACAAACCAATTTGTCCCCCATAAGGAGAATTAAAACAAAGGAACCAATTCTAATTTTAAAAGTTTTTTAAATAAAAATGTTGGAAATAGTCTTTTATTTTCTTATTACACATTAACATTTACGTTTTTCACATTTTGTAAAGTTGTTCTCCAAAAACAATTAGTCTTGCTAATTCCAAAACAATATTTTCAAATTAAAATTACCAAAAGAAATAAATAAACAATAGAAAACATCTGATTGAATGTCGATGAATGAGAAGAAGAAGAGTTGCAAGAGATTGCAAGAAGAAATTTTTCCAGCAAGAATTTGCAAACTCTCACTGAAAGAACTGTCAAAATTTCTCTCTCCAACCGCTCTCTTTTGCAGAACTTTCGGGTTAACAGACGACTTCCAGTAACAATTTGTAACAATTGTTACAAACTTTAGGGTAACCAGACACACCTATTGTGACGTTAAATTTGTCAAAGTACAAGGGACAAGGCAAAAAAAAAAAACATAATAATAATAATAATAATAATAATAATAATAATAAATAAATAAAAGGCTGAAATGGAATTAGGTTTCCTTGAATTGATTTTACCATCTTATATAATTAGAAAAAATCAAACATTTTTTGTGAAATAGAAAATGTCCTTTATTTGAAAATTCCTGTGAGAAATTGATTTTTTTATATCAACAATCCGTGGAAGTTGAATGAGCCCATTTTTCGGAGATGGGAAACCGTGAAGGTAAATTTGACAAGATACAAGGGGAATAAAGCAGACATGAATGTTTTTTTTTCAAATTAGGTTGATTTGAATGTATCATTTTATGTAATTAGAAAAAATAAAATTTTATTTTTTTTATTTATTTGAAAAGTCCTTGTAACAGTTATTTTTGTGCGGACATGGTACTGCGGTCTTAGGCTGCGGCTTAGCTCGCCGGAATGGGTAGGTTCTTTCCGCTTCAACTGAACATATAAATTTGTGTACCATTGGTGTTATTTTTTTTGTAACGGAAATTCAAATTTAATTTAAAAAATAAAATAAATACAAAGGAAACGGATGTAGTTCGATTTATAACCAGATTTAGCATTTCAATTCAAAATAAATACAAATGAGATTTCCATTAGGTGAGGTTTAGATGGTAACCTCGATGGCTTTTCCCTCCCCATATGACTATTTCAGTCATCCTTGGTATTTTCTGTGCCATCAGACTTAAGTGAAAATACCCCAAATATAATTAACCACGCACTAACAAATATTCAACCCATTACTTTAAAGTTCAAAACATTTTGTTAAAAAAAATTATTACTCAAAATATTTCAATATTTAAATTAAATTTATAATGCATTTTTATTATTATTATTCTTAATATTTAATATATATATATATTAAATTTTTTTTTTTTTACTATTTATAGGTTTTTTTTTTTGGTTTCAACAAAAATAATTTTTGGTTTCCTTAATAATAATTAAACATATAAATTTTTGTATTATATAATAATAGAAAATTTACTTTGATATAACAATTTCTAATTGAGTATAGATATTTTGTTCAGAATTTATATTATTTATTTTTATTACAATTCTTATTTTTACTTATTTGGTTTCTAAATATATATATAATTTCAGATTTTTAATAATTTCTTATTTTTTTGTGTATAAATATAATTTAGAATTTGTTATATTTACATATTTTAGGTGTAATAGATTTGTGTAAATAATATTATTTGTTTGCAATATTTATGTTATTTATTATTCTTATTTTTATTATTGTTATATATATTTTTGTTGTATCTCTAGATAAGTTATATTGAATTTGAAGAAGGATTACATTTCATAACCACGTGGGTCTTATATAATATTTTTAGGTTATATTTAGGCAATACTTCATTTACCTATAATTTTATCTCCAATTTGCTGTTTTTTTTATTTATTTGTTGATTTTTAAAATAAATTAAATTTATCAGGTTTTTCTTCGGTCTACCCTAATGTTTTTATAGCAATATTCATATTTTTTAACGCCTTAACATATGCTTTACGTTTCAACTAAATTTTGAATGTTTTAATTTTGTGTCAAAATAACCACGTGTGAAATATGTGATTGTTGCGTAGAGATGGAGCTTATATCATATTTTATTTTGCCAATTCACAACAATATCTTGATTTAAGTATACCAGTTTTAATAAAGGCAACTTATTGATCTAGATGGTGTTGTATGGCACTTTTTGATATATGTTTGATGATTGTACTCACTTATGATAATCTCCTTATGATGAGTTATACATATATATAGGTATCTTATTGTCCGAAATTAATGCCCAGAATATGTGTCTCCATTTACAAGTGACAATTTGACGACTGCCGCGGTGTTGAAGTCGTCAGAAATTCACTTCTTTCTGCCTTATTTGGAGAATAGGTATTTCAACACGATATTCTATATTATAAAAATGGCACAAATTCCTTGACGTTAGACACTAATCAAAAGCAAATTATTTTCGTTTTATGTTATTATTCTCACCTGGGCAATTTTCAATATTTCTTTATTAATATTTCAGCATTAAATTCTCCAATCTTTAGTTTTAATATTTTAAATTTTTATTAATTTAACTAAAAGAAAAAAAAAAAAAAAAACGTTTTATAACCACTATCACCATTACTCAATGTTTCAAATTTCACCTTCTAATTTTAATAATTGCTAAATATCTTAAATGTTAACCTTATTGTAAACCTTCAACGTTTGAAATGAAAGAACAATTTCAAGGTGACTTTGTGAAGGTTGGAACTCACATGCTGGAGTTTTAGAGATGGTACAATTGGTTCCTTTTTCTAGTGGTATCAATTTGTAGTGTTAAGCATTCTATATAGATGGCTCTCTAGTAATGATCATGGCAGCATTTATTTTTCTTGTGTTCAAGATTTATTAATACGAATTAATAATGCTATCATATTTTTAAAAATTCAAATAATTTAAAGCAGGTCAAGGATTATTTTATTAAAAGCTTTTTATAGCAATTGTTAAAGCTTTTTTCCAATTGTTGTCCAACATTTACTACGATTTATTGGAAATAAATCTGTTGTACGACTGCGGTGTAGTTACGACCAGATAATATGCAGATGGTAAAAATACGATTGCAGAATCCCTACTAGATAATATGAACTTGGTCAAGATACGATTGTGGCATCCCTATAATGTTTACATTTGAAACATCAAGCCGCTAAATTGTAAAATAAAAAGTCATGTTGAAAAATATTAAGTGAGTTGCTCATCTCCACAGCCCAAGGGTGGCTGTCACAAAGCCAACTCTTTTCGCGCAACCTGTGTAGTGTAAAAGAGTTGGGAATATGTATATGGAAAACAATAAAAAGGTAAATATAGCAATTCCACTCACAACATGTTGTTAATGTTTTTTTTTTCTTTGCAGGTATTAAGGGATGTATGTTGGAATCTTTGGATTGGCAAGAAAATATTTACATTAGAAACACAACAGCAAAATTTATCAGCCAGGATATAAAAATGTATTACATTGTTGTTGTCCAATGTCAAAGGCAATCGGAAAACTAGTGTGTTTTGGTGTCAAAGGTTTTGTTGGATATTTGCAACAGGCATTTGTCTTGGCCAGAAATACAACAACATAAAGGAAAAATGGATAATGGAGATTTTAGGAAAAGGAGAAGTATTTTCCAATCAGTTTATTTGTTATATTAAGATTGTAACAAGTGTTTGTTTTGTTTCCAGGTACACGTTTATGAACGTATGGAATGCATTTTTTTGTGTGCTATGAATGACGTAGAATGTGAGCAGGTATATTGGCCTACATGTGTGTCTACTCTATTGGTCCAGTTGGGAATTTATTGCAGATATGGTAAGTCTATTGGAGATACAATGTTTGTTGTTCATTGTACTAATTACTGTCTTTATTTTTATTTTCAGAAACATTAATGGAAGATATATGAAATATTCAAGTTATTGAATACTGATTGTAATAAATGCAATATGTTTTACAAAAAGCAAATGATTCTACGGCCATATATTTACCCTACATAGTAAATGGATAGATTTTTACCTGAATGCATTAAAAGGTATGTTCATGATCATGTGGGTTAATGGCAAAGAATAATGTGTGTACTTGATTATTAACAAACTCAATATTTTTGTTTATTTTCCAGGTAGACGTATTGAAAATGACAAACTAAATGCCTTATATATTCAGATGTGTGGTGTTGTGTGCTTGTAGATAATAACAAACGAACATGTTGACGGAAAAAGGAAAGTATTATTCCAATTGAATTTGTGTTGCCATCAAAATGTTTATGAAGTTTCTTTTTCTAGGTAAGCATTGACGGGAATCTAAAATCTATGAGAATATTGACAGTTGGTTTCATGCGAATATCGTTATAGTAAATTGGCGAATTTGAAGATAAGTATATTTTGAAATTGATTATGCTATTGTTACTAATATTTTCTTTCTATTTTCAGGTTCTGATATGAAGTTATTTCTGGTTATTAATAGTTTTCTTTCTTTTTCAGGTAGTTGCAGAAATTAATTCATAATGGATCAATTGAAGGGAGCAATCAACATAACAACAAAATATGCCGTAGGTTTTGGTGAGAAAAGTGGTTATTAAGATTAATATTAGTTATAAGAGTAGGTACTAATACTATTGCTTGAGGTGTTGTGCGTGGATAGTTCCTATTAGATCGCCTTTAAGATTTTCAATTTGGTATAGGCAGTTTCCTAAGGATTTTCGTATCCTACACTTAATCCACGGTTTACAGAGTTTAGAATTTATACCTTTTGCAAAATTGCTTTGCACAAAATTCTTTCGGAAGACTTCCTGTCCAGGTTTGTAGGTTATGAATCTACTTCTCTTGTTATATGATCTTGTGTTTCTTTCATAGGCTTCATGTATCTTTTCGTTGATCTTGTTGTGCATTATTTGCATTTGGTCGGATTTAGGTAACAAAACTATTTCACCGTCTTCTAAGGCGTTTAGTTTCTTTAGAATCTTGTATGCATCTGCATGAGTAATCATTTGATAGCCTGTTAAAGCGAAGTATGGAGTTGTACCTGTAGAAGCATGAATTGTTGAGCGTAGTGCACATTCAATTTTGGGCAACTTTTCATCCCATTTTGCGTGATCTTTCTGTAGGTAACTACGAATGCTACTAAGGATTGTTTGGTTTACCCTTTCGCTTGCATTAGATTGTGGTGCATGTATTGCAGTACGAATGTGTTGTATGCCAAACATTTTCATTAGCTCTTTAAATGCTTCAGAGGTAAATTGTTTTCCATTATCTGAATGGATACATTCGGGAACTCCGAATTTATAAAATACCTCTTCGACAAGAAATTTATTTACTTGAGAAACTGTTGCTTTAGTCATTGTTTTGAGCAAAACGAATTTAGTTTTATGATCTAAAACTATAAATATAAAACTCTTGCCTGTTTTGACCTGGGGTAAGGTCCTAAAAAATCAATGTAGATCTTCTGAAATGGTCGTAATGTGACAACTTCGTTCCCCATTGGAGGTCTAAGTGTTTGTCTAGGATGCTTTATTTCTTTACATGTATCGCAATTTCTTATAAAATCCTTTATGTCTGTGACCATTGAAGGCCAGTAGAAGTACTGTCGTATGTTATGTATAGTCTTAGCTATGCCACCATGACATGTGTTTATCTCATGTGACTTTTTTACGATTTCGTTGGTCAAATTGCTTGGTAGCCAAATCTTCCAACAAGCGTCCTCGCTTTCTATATCTATCGTATTGAATTTGACCCTTTTGTAAACAACTCCTTCTTGTACCTTTAAGTCAGGCAGTCTATCTTTATTTTGCTCGATTGTGTCAATGAGACTTAGGTAGATTGGATTCTTGAATTCCTCTGAATCAAAGTCTATTATGGATGTTGTGTCAACAGAAATTTCTTCCATGTCTAAGCGTGAGAGCATGTCAGGTACTACATTTTTGGTTCCCTTTCTATGTTCAATTGTGAACCTGTAGCCTTGTAGTTTTAAACTCCATCGCGCTAGACGTCCATTCAAATCTTTCTGTCTCATCAGCCATTGTAGACTTGAGTGGTCAGTTATGACTGTAAAGTCCATCAATTCTATATACTGTCTGAACCGCTCAATTGCCAAGATGACTGCAAGACACTCTTTCTCTGTAGTGGAATAGTTGCGTTGGGCACTGTTCAATTTCTTGGAGAAGTATTCGATAGGGTGTTCACCATCGTCATCACCTTTTTGAAAAAGAACAGCACCAACTCCGACGTTCGATGCGTCACACTGCACAAAGAAAGGTTTTGAGAAGTCGGGACTGGATAATACTGGACTAGACACTAAACATATTTTTAATTTTTCAAAAGATTCTGTTGCTTCAGGAGTCATTATAAATTTTGGAGATTTCTTTAAGGTATCTGTAAGAGGGGATGTTAAAGTGGAAAAATCGTGAATAAATCTACGATACCACCCTACAGTACCTAAAAATTTCCTAACATCTTTCTGGTTTTTGGGTGATTTGATATTCATTATGGCTTCAATTTTTCCTGGATCAGGTTTTAACTTGCCTGCTCCAACAATATAACCAAGATATCGAAGTTCTTTATAACAAAATTTAGACTTGTCCATATTTATTGTTAAGCCAGCGTTTGTTAGTCTATCTCCTACAGTCTTGAGCATTTCTATATGTACATCGAAGTTTTGGGATACCACCAATAAATCGTCGAGGTACACAAATACACGGTCTTTCAACTCTGAAGGAATCACTTTATCCATCAGGCGGCACATCCTTTGCGCAGCATTGCACAATCCGAAAGGCATGACCTTAAACTGGTAATGTGGCCTACCTTGGACCGTGAATGCTGTCAAAGGACGGCTTAATTCCTCCAAAGGAATTTGCCAAAATGCGTCCTTTAGATCTATTGCTGATATGAAATGCGTATCTCCGAGTCTAGCTAACAAACCTTCGATATTAGGCAAAGGATATGCATCTTTACGCGTCACTTTATTGAGTTCCCTTGCGTCCAAACATAACCTGTTTTTATTGGGTTTTATGACCAGGGTAACTCTGTTGTTCCATTCTGCATTTCGTGCTATCTCGATTACATCCAGTTCCAGCATACGGTCTAACTCGTCGTACATGAGTTTTTGTACTGCGGGACTCACTGGGTAATATCTCATCTTCTTAGGAGCTGAATTTCCAATATCGATGGAATGCTGTTCCAGATGAGTTTTCCCTAGACCGTACTTCGTATAGCACCGAAATGAGAGCTTGGCGTTCTCTAATTTCACATTTTGTTCATACGTAAGATCATGCATTTTCCTTTCCTCGTCAATCTCTAATACTTCTTTATTGATTATATTTGGTTCAAACGATATTTTTATATTAAATGTTTGCCAAAAATCGTACCCTAAAATGAGACTTTGTTTCAAGCTAGGAACTAAGTAAAATGTCAAGTTTCTAACCTCATTTCCACATTTTACATCACATTTAATTTTTCCTACAATTTGTTGTTGCTTGCCGTCTGCTGTTCTTAGACAGGATTTAAAATTAAAAATCTGGGCATTCATTTTCTCAGCATTTTCTATGCAATTGCTACCTAGGCAACTTATGGAAGCTCCACTGTCCATCAGACCAGTGAATTCTATTTCATTAAGTTTCACTTTCAAATAAGGCCTAATGTCATTATCGACTTCAAGGTATGCTGATGCAATAACTTTCCTTTCTGTCTTTCTTTTACTATATCCTTTTCTCGCTTTTGCAACTCTTTTACTGACTTCAGGCACAAAGTCCTTGAATATTTCAGCCCTTTTCTTATTGTACTCTTTTAATCTTTCTTCATACGGAACAATAGAAATTAGTTTTGTTGTTGTTGGACAAATTGATTTTGCAACATGTATTAATGTTGGCTTATTGTTGAATGTCTGGGTAGTAGTTGTTGTTGGTATGTCTGGGATCGATTGTTTTACTGGGATGTGTCCTTCTGCGAACATGGATTCCCAGCGTTCCCCATGCTCTTGAAGCGGTTTCCCATACATCTAGGACATTTAGGTGATGTAACTCCATCGAACCCACATTTGTAGCAAAAAATATTTCGCTGTTCGACTTCACATTCTATGTAAGTGTGACCTGCCTTCTTGCAATTCCAACATGTAATTTGCTTTGCTGTTGTTGTTGCATGGATTGCTTCAACATCAGAGGTCGGGTCACAAGAGTCATTGTCAAATTCAATCTCATGGATTCTCCTAAATTGTTGTTGTGGTTGCCGATAATGCATACGCTTCGAAATATTAGCCTCAGCCCTTCTACACTCTTCTATAAGGACATCAATGGATTCTATATTCCTTGCATATATTAATTGTACTAGTCCTTCCTTCAGATTATCTTTGATTATTCGGACTATTTCTAATTCAGGGATGGGAACTCTCATTTGATTTTTCAATTTAATAATTTCGGAAATAAAGATGTCGGCAGTTTCGTTAGGAAGTTGTCGACGCTCTATGATCTTTCTTTGAATTTCAAAATCAGATTCGAAATTTCTAAATTTTTTTATTAGATTGTACTTCAAAAATTGCCATTCGCACAAAGGATTTTGCTGACGGAATTGCCATATCCAATCATATGCTCTTCCTGCTAACAAATGATGAAATCCTTTGACGAAAACGTCCCAAGGACAACTGTAATCCACTCTTAAGGATTCAGCTCTGAATACAAATTCCTCAATGCTAATATTTTTTGACGAGCCATCAAATTTTAATCCCCATTTTTGCAATTGTAGTGGTGTCTTTGGTTTACAACCAATTGCAAAGTTTTGACTAAAGTTCTGGGAATAGTGTTCTCTATTATTATTGTTGGTTTGTTGCTGTCTCTGTTCGAAGTTATTTGGCATATAGTGAGAATTTAACGTTGGTTCTTGTTCGTACCTATTCGGATCTTGAGTATTGAAGGACGAATTTCTCAAGGAATCAATTGAATTTCTGACCACTTGAGGTATCATCACTGCTAATCTCTCTTCCATTGTTCTTAGAGCTTGGTTTTGAGCTATTCTAACAGAGGCAGTTATGTACTCTCTTAAACTTGGACCATCATTACTATTAATAGGGGCCTCTAAATTTACATTTTCTAATAGGGGTTGTTGTCTAGAATCCCTCTCAAATTGGTTTCTTACCTCTTGGGCAGTTGCACTACTAAATTCTGGACTACCTATAGCGGTAATAGTTCCTGGTGAAGATGTCGTTTGGAGTCCTGTTGGTGGTGGAATATTGCATGCCATTAAAGGTGGAATAACATTTTGTACAACAGTTTGATTAGCATCTGGTGCAGAGTTTGTTGACATGTTTGAGATGTTTTGATCTGAAGTATTATTGTTTGGCAAAGATTGGTTACCTAACGGGTTATTGTGTGATAGTGTTGGTCCCGAAGTACTTGCAATATGTTGATTTTGAGAAGATCCAGAAGGATTATTTCTACTCGCTATTCTACTTGATGACCTACTAGGTTGTTGAGTTTGGTTCCTATTTGCCATTTTTGAAACAGTCAGTTATGAACAATATGTGGAATGAGTTTGAATTTGTTATTGTGTAAAGATAAGTTTAAGGGTATATATGAAGGTTTGCAATAATTATAAGTAGAATAATATTAACAAAATTTATGAATTTTTAATATTTTTGAATTTTGTTAATTAATATTTCTACTTATTTGGAATGGAAATTAAATTATAGGTATTTTGCTAATGAATTAATTAATAACTTTAATAATAATTATTTTATAATGTTGTAAATTATTGTTATATTTCGTACAAATTTTTAATAATTAATATAATTATTTTTTTCTCTTTTCAGATCTTTAACAATTCTGTTTGTATTGTTTTTGATTTTATATAATCTTTTAAATATGAATATAAATTTATATTTTTAAATTTGTTTTATATATTTTTTTAAGACTTTTATTTTTAGTTATCTTCAATGATTTTTTTAATCTAATATTTTAAATTATATATTTTATACAAATTAGATTTTTATACAAATTTATTTTTTTTAATAACTTGAGTAATTTTAATTTAAGTATTTTTAACAATTTTTTTTATATAAGCTAAATAAATTTTCAAAAATTAGTTGCAATTACTTTTTTTTTATTATTAGAAACAATATTATTTTCTGGATTGATGTTTATTTGTTAGATTGTGGTTTGTATTTATTTATTTTTGTAAATATAAATATATGTAAATATATATATTTCTAAATATTATATACAAAATGGAAATCTTTTACAACTTTTTTAATATTTTCCAAAATATTAATATTTTCTAATGTAAATTAGAAAATTAATTATTTAGAATACAAGATGTATTAGAATACTTAATAATGATTATATATTTTTTTTATAAACATTTTAAATAAAGTATTTATTTTAAATCGAATGATGTTTCTGTCTTGTTAAATGTTATGTGTTTTGAGGTTATATATCGAAAAACATTTTGGGATAAAGAATTAAATGAATTATACCTATTGATGTAAATGAATATTTCTTTCGTTGAGGTACAAATAAATATTAAGCTATAGCCACAAATTATGATACTGTCACGATTGTAATATCATTTTCATCGATTGGTAACTCGACATTTCACTACATCAGAGTATTTGTACAACACGATATGACATTTGAATTGCCTTCCGGGATACCTATAAACTGATTGTAGCTGAATGAAGAGTTTGGGTTATAGGTGGAATACCAATTTTTTAAGAAGCTCGAAAGTTGGGCGCCATATATGTAACAGTTATTTTTGTGCGGACATGGTACTTCGGTCTTAGGCTGCGGCTTAGCTCGCCGGAATGGGTAGGTTCTTTCCGCTTCAACTGAACATATAAATTTGTGTACCATGGGTGTTATTTTTTTTGTAACGGAAATTCAAATTTAATTTAAAAAATAAAATAAATACAAAGGAAACGGATGTAGTTCGATTTATAACCAGATTTAGCATTTCAATTCAAAATAAATACAAATGAGATTTCCATTAGGTGAGGTTTAGATGGTAACCTCGATGGCTTTTCCCTCCCCATATGACTATTTCAGTCATCCTTGGTATTTTCTGTGCCATCAGACTTAAGTGAAAATACCCCAAATATAATTAACCACGCACTAACAAATATTCAACCCATTACTTTAAAGTTCAAAACATTTTGTTAAAAAAATTATTACTCAAAATATTTCAATATTTAAATTAAATTTATAATGCATTTTTATTATTATTATTCTTAATATTTAATATATATATATATTAAATTTTTTTTTTTTTTACTATTTATAGGTTTTTTTTTTGGTTTCAACAAAAATAATTTTTGGTTTCCTTAATAATAATTAAACATATAAATTTTTGTATTATATAATAATAGAAAATTTACTTTGATATAACAATTTCTAATTGAGTATAGATATTTTGTTCAGAATTTATATTATTTATTTTTATTACAATTCTTATTTTTACTTATTTGGTTTCTAAATATATATATAATTTCAGATTTTTAATAATTTCTTATTTTTTTGTGTATAAATATAATTTAGAATTTGTTATATTTACATATTTTAGGTGTAATAGATTTGTGTAAATAATATTATTTGTTTGCAATATTTATGTTATTTATTATTCTTATTTTTATTATTGTTATATATATTTTTGTTGTATCTCTAGATAAGTTATATTGAATTTGAAGAAGGATTACATTTCATAACCACGTGGGTCTTATATAATATTTTTAGGTTATATTTAGGCAATACTTCATTTACCTATAATTTTATCTCCAATTTGCTGTTTTTTTTATTTATTTGTTGATTTTTAAAATAAATTAAATTTATCAGGTTTTTCTTCGGTCTACCCTAATGTTTTTATAGCAATATTCATATTTTTTAACGCCTTAACATATGCTTTACGTTTCAACTAAATTTTGAATGTTTTAATTTTGTGTCAAAATAACCACGTGTGAAATATGTGATTGTTGCGTAGAGATGGAGCTTATATCATATTTTATTTTGCCAATTCACAACAATATCTTGATTTAAGTATACCAGTTTTAATAAAGGCAACTTATTGATCTAGATGGTGTTGTATGGCACTTTTTGATATATGTTTGATGATTGTACTCACTTATGATAATCTCCTTATGATGAGTTATACATATATAGGTATCTTATTGTCCGAAATTAATGCCCAGAATATGTGTCTCCATTTACAAGTGACAATTTGACGACTGCCGCGGTGTTGAAGTCGTCAGAAATTCACTTCTTTCTGCCTTATTTGGAGAATAGGTATTTCAACACGATATTCTATATTATAAAAATGGCACAAATTCCTTGACGTTAGACACTAATCAAAAGCAAATTATTTTCGTTTTATGTTATTATTCTCACCTGGGCAATTTTCAATATTTCTTTATTAATATTTCAGCATTAAATTCTCCAATCTTTAGTTTTAATATTTTAAATTTTTATTAATTTAACTAAAAGAAAAAAAAAAAAAAAACGTTTTATAACCACTATCACCATTACTCAATGTTTCAAATTTCACCTTCTAATTTTAATAATTGCTAAATATCTTAAATGTTAACCTTATTGTAAACCTTCAACGTTTGAAATGAAAGAACAATTTCAAGGTGACTTTGTGAAGGTTGGAACTCACATGCTGGAGTTTTAGAGATGGTACAATTGGTTCCTTTTTCTAGTGGTATCAATTTGTATTGTTAAGCATTCTATATAGATGGCTCTCTAGTAATGATCATGGCAGCATTTATTTTTCTTGTGTTCAAGATTTATTAATACGAATTAATAATGCTATCATATTTTTAAAAATTCAAATAATTTAAAGCAGGTCAAGGATTATTTTATTAAAAGCTTTTTATAGCAATTGTTAAAGCTTTTTTCCAATTGTTGTCCAACATTTACTACGATTTATTGGAAATAAATCTGTTGTACGACTGCGGTGTAGTTACGACCAGATAATATGCAGATGGTAAAAATACGATTGCAGAATCCCTACTAGATAATATGAACTTGGTCAAGATACGATTGTGGCATCCCTATAATGTTTACATTTGAAACATCAAGCCGCTAAATTGTAAAATAAAAAGTCATGTTGAAAAATATTAAGTGAGTTGCTCATCTCCACAGCCCAAGGGTGGCTGTCACATCCTATGAGAAACTGATTTTTTAACAATCCTTGTTAACAAAACTGGTTCATTTTTAATTCTGATTAATAAAGCGTTGTATGATTCTTTAATTTATTTTTTTTAATAATACAAAAAAACAATACAATTAAATACAGTCAGTTACAGATAAAACTATATAGAACTCACATATATCAAAATACATTCTTTTTTTTTTAAGAGATTGGACAAGAATTCGAGAGAGATAGCGATAGAGAAATAAATACATATTTCATATTTTTTTTATTTATAGTTTATACGCACAATTTGAAAAAAGCTTTAATTGTTAGAGTAAAAAAAAGAATTACGAGTAAATTGTACTTTCAATCCATTCATCCATGGTAAAGGTGGCCGTTTCTGTATTTTCAGTATCTTTGTCCTTGAATATATCTAAAAATAGTTATTATTAAAAATGGGTTATTATTTTTTGTGATAAAAGAGATAAAGAGGGAGTCCCTACCTATAAAGGTCTTTATTTTAACGGCACACATTAAAAAGTCATCAAATGCAATTTTGCCATCCCTTGAGCCATAGCGATGCACCAGAGCATTCAATATGCGATTGTTCAAATGATAACCAGCCGAGTTAAGGGCCTGGCGCAATTGGAAGCCATCGATGCGTCCGGTTTGATGGACATCATATATTTTAAATACCGCCTTCCATTTGGCAATGTCGGTGAGGAGGGCCTCAAATTCTTCCAAACCCAATTTACCTGACTTGTCTACATCTAACATGGCCACCATGGAACGGCAAATGTCTTTGGAGAAACCTTCGGGAGTGGCAGTCATTACTGGAAATAGAAAGAAACGGGGGAAAATTAATAACGAAAATTGGAAAGTTGTCAGCAAAGATTTGGATGAAAGTCGTCTTTATTTTGATATTATTCTATTACATAGTTTTAGGCGTTTTATGTGTATCAAATCACCGGGCACATAAGCTTGCTTTGGAAAAAAAATGTAAAAAACAGTTCATGACCAACACCATGTTTTTTTTGAGGATATTATTTTATGTTTTGTAAAAAAAAACAATATTTCATATATATATGTTTTTATAGATAGTTGTTTCTATAGTACGTAGTAATTGCTCACCCGGGCTATTGTAGTCATCTGTGCGATTAGGGTCATACAGGCGTTGCGTCGTA